ATTAAGTTGCCGAGCACGTTGCTGCAAGCTGTAGCCCCCCGCCTTAGTGAATCGGTCACGTTTAGGACCCTCTAGGTCCATCCTAATTCTGCCAGTAGAATTGAGGGTATTGGAGCTCTAAACTTTCAAAAGGAAAGGGGCCTGCAACTACCCTGAAAACTTATGGATACCCTGAAATTTTTTACCGCTGTAGTTTTGTACCACATCACCAAACAGAATTTGCCAAGAAATATTAGATATTTCTTCGGGTAAAGTTTTTTTGTTTTTTTTTTTTTTTTTTAAGTTTATACTTAGCAACGTGCTACTTAGACAGATGGAGTTAAAAGGCAGGTCTGTAAGGGCGTTTAACTGAACCAGTGCGTTTTCCATGATGTTTGTTATGTCATATGTTTTTCAAAAACACAAACAAAACAGCACTGGAACTGAAAAAGGAAGGAAATAAAAGTTTGAATTATAATGTTGTGGACTGATGTAAAGAGAGACGTTTATTTGAAATTTGTTAGTGTCAAAATTGGCCTCAAAAGCAAAAAGTAAGATTTTCAAAGTTGAAAGACTTAATTTTCATTCTATGATTCCAAAACTTAAAAACAAAAACAAAAACAACTTTCCGGGTTGGGTTGTGGGTGATACTTGTCAGTGTTTAGTGCCCAGGCCGCTGGGCATTGCTGCCCAAACCTTGTTTAAATCTGATTATGAAGTGATTTGTTGAAGTCATGAATATGAAATGATCCTTGTGTATCTATAAATGCGAACTTGGGATTTTTTGATCTCCCGCTTTTTTGTGTGCGCCCAGTAGCTGCAGCCGTGGAAGACAGTGATTGGCTCCAGTGCTCCTAGAAGGATTTGGGCTCAAGCCAGGGGAACAGAACCAGAGGATTCCCTTTCCAGAGACCATCAGGCCCCACATGTCTTATGTTTCCCTTCTCCCCTCATGGGTGCTCAGACTTTCTGTATGGCTTCACCAGCCTATAGGTAGGCCTCAACACTCCGTGTCATCACTTCAGTTTCTATACATTTGACCCTTGAGCAAAATAAACAAAAATTTGGGCGACACAAATAAATTGTAGGTCTTGATATTTGTGTATTATTTAATATATCAACATTGAACTCTACTTTCTCAGATTTTTTTTCTGCATTCAGGATCAATTGTGAGAAGCCCTGGTGTCTCATAGGAAAATATTGCAACAAAACAAGATAATTGGGGGGAAAGGCTGTTGCAGTAAGAAAAGTGGCTTTTCGTTGATAGCGTTTAATTGGAATTAAAAGATTCTTTAGCTGTAAACATTCTTTATTTATTCAGCACACATAAGCAGGCATTGTTTTATCACCATCATAATTATGGTGTCCTTTAAACTGGCTGATAGCAGGAAAGATAAGGGAATTTGCCTGTAGATTCAGATCAGTTTTCGCTCCTCTCTTTCTTTCCCTTCCTCCCTCCCTCCCCTCTCTCTCTATACCCTCCCCCCACCCCCATTCCTTCCTTGGTCACTAGGGTCCCCCACAGCCCTTGAGATGAGGAGGGCAGGAAGATTGTGGCCTAACCATTTCTTACATCATGAAAGAGATTTGTACCACACTCTAATTTAATGCAATGTATAACCTTCTTGTCTCCTGTGTTTATAACTGCTTTTTAGCTTGCAATATATGTTATCTAAAGAGTTGTCTATTGCTCACCTGTATAAAATCTTCTCCACTAGGTTTTGTTGCTTTACCTTTGTCTAATTTAGAAAGTACACTCTTAGGGCTTTTTCAGAACAAAGCCTCACAAAAACCCCTTTACCTCCAAGGATTTGCAAATTTATAAAGCCTGCATTGAATTCAAGATGGGTCAGGGGGCAAAAAAAGGGTAGAAGGTCACTGCATTTTGATTATGGGTCAGTAGACAACATGGCATATACTCTGTGTCCCAAACTTCTGTTAAAAACAGGATTTTAAAATGCCTAAGAACAGAAGGATGGGCCCTTTTGGAGACTTGCCTTGATTTGTTTGGATGAAACAAAAAGAAAAAAATTAAGCAAAATATACTAAGTTATAATTTAAGCTGTTCCTTAATTTAGCATTTCCTCCTCCATTCTCATTTCCCCTCCCAAAAAAGTAGAGAACATGTGAAAATAGATAAATTTAGGTGAGGAACTGTTGATTATTACAAGATTTTATTGTCCTATATCCTAAATTAATTCAGCCGTGTGAGGCTTTATATTATTATTTTAGATTGTGTTATATGTAAGTGTTATAATTACTTTTGGCTAACAGTACAAGGGGCTTCTTTTATTCTTCTAACCAGTATACTTACATTGTTGAGGCCTTTGTGATGTCCCTTAGTCTTTTCTCTCTGAATTCTCTTTGAACAAAATGTGCCCAGCAATCAGTAAAACAAATGTATATGGTGAAGAGTTAGGTGGTGGTGATGGTGATGTTGGGAGATGATCCTCATTTAAATTATATGTGTATGGGTGAAAGCTTGGAAGGAAAAGGATTATTTTAATGCTCTTCAATACTTTAATTATATGACAGTTGTAGTGTAGAAATGCAAAAGTACTCTTAGGTTTTCCTTCAGGTTTTCAAAAGAACTTTCCCCATTAGTAAACTACTCCTGCAAATTGCTACTGCATTTCCCAGCTAACCATTTAAAAGACTGTAAATGCCGTGTGCATTACTTTGCTCCAGAGGAAAGAGGTCAGACTGAATTGCAATGGTATTTAAACATAAAATACAGTGAAAATAAATCAAAATAGAACATCTGAAGGTAAATTTAGCACATTCATACCAGATAAGTAAAGACAAATATGTTCATACCTTCATAGCCCATCACTTTAAAAACTGAAAGTACTGATTTTTTTTACAACAAATGCAGAAGTAAGTGGACATTAAGAATATACTTCTATCTGTATTTGCCACAGAGGATTTTCCTTTAGCAAGCAGCTTTGTTTTCAAAGCTAAAATACTTTTTATGATAGTGAGTAGATCGTGCATTCCTCACTGAGTAAATAATTACATGTAATTAACAAACTCAATGCTTATCATATATATGCCTAAATTCTCAGTAAGTAATTCTCTATACTCTCAGAGACGGATACACACATAATTGTGAATTTGGGCATATCTGCCCACATACGTATATGCATTTGAGAAACCTAGAAATTGATACATCTTTTCTTAAAAAAGAATTTGAATACAGTCCATCATCTGAATTGGGTTCATCTTTGATTGTTGAGGCAGCTGACATGGTCAACAAATTTATCAAAGAAACCCCCTGGCTTTTGAAGAATAGTACTTTATACATCTGGATCTGCACATCCAGGCAAAGTAAGTAAATTATTGCATAACTTTAAGCATAATTGATAACAGACACCTTTAATTTTTCATCCCCATTCTTTTGGCCAGCTTTCACATTAATAATCTAAGCCATAAATGTTGGTAGCTATTGATCGAAATCCCCTGTGTGCATGCAAATCCATCTTAAAGTCCCCTGCCTTTCATGTGTGAGCGCTCAGGGGCCTCTGCTAGATCTTTTTATCGGGATCGACCCCCAATGTGGCTGGAGAAGACCCCGGATATGCAACGTGTGCTGATGGCCACAAGAAAGCTGTCTGTCACATTCTGTGTATGTGTGTATGTGTGTGTGTGCGCGCGCGAATGCGCACACTCACGCCTTAACACACACACACACACAATAATGGGGAAGTTAAAGGAACAAAAGAATGTATTAGACAAAAAGAAAGATATATAATAAAAGTATTAAAAATGTATAAGTGTAGAAGTGTCTGAGTGTACATATAAAGATACTTGCATAAATTGTATATATAGACACATTTCCCAAGTCCTCTGGTCTTTATTTTTCTCTATTTGACCCAATAGATTGGACCTTTAGTTTAAAAAAAAATATGTAATATTCTACTGGTTTTAAGAACCACCTATGTTGCCAGTATTTTAAAGGTGGAAAGAGAGGAAGGAAGAGCAAAAAAAGGTAATTTTGAAAATGTTACTAAATCATGTTGCCATGTGCAGGAGTAGGAGTGTGTGTGTGCGTGCGTGTGTGTGTGTGTAAATCTAAATAGGAATGGAGAACAACTAGAACTACCTGGCCAAAAAAAAAAAAAAAAAAAAAAAAAGGACGTTCTAGCCAACCTTTTGTAATGCCTTCTAAAAGGCTTTTTCTGAGTTTACTATTTCTTGGCTGTTGGACTCTTTGGTCGAAATCTCAAAGCTGGAGGAGGGGAATTGGACAGGGGTGGGGTGGGAGGAAGAGAGCTGCCAGTATATAAGTGCATCAGGAGGAATTTTAAAATGACATTATTGTCACTGGAAGTGGAAAGACTCTGGTCATTCTCTTTAAAAACCAAACACCAGCATCTGCTTTTTCTGGAAACTTTGCTTTCTGCTTAAACCTTTTGCATTTTGCCTCCTGTGAAAGTGAAAGAGAAAAACACGGTGTGATAGATCCAGATGCAAAAGAAAGCCAACTCGGTGGATGGTATTAGCTGTGACGAGGCATTGTTCATTGCTGCCTCTCGGTTACGTTTAAAGCCTGAAATATCACGAGATCCATTCAATGATCCTTCTCTCATTCAAGGGACAAAAATGTAATTTGCTGTAGCTCTGATTTCTTGGATGGAAATGCTAGCCTTAGATTTCAAAGGCAAGAACTAGACATCGTGGTTTGTACACACATTGATTAAGTTGAAGAGCGGCGATTACATCTGTGCTGAGTGCAACAGTAGTCCAGGGCTGACTTTTCAAATCCCAACCTCTGAGTTACGGACTCTCTTAAATAGACTTCCTTAATTTCCGGATGTACTTCTTGAAATTCCCAATTCTCTTCAAAATTCCTGGGAAATTACTGGGGAGATGAGGGTGGGGGTGGGGAACTATGGCTGAGATTTCATGCAAAATCCCTTTTTGTATGTCTGATTCCTCTGTTTTTATCTTTTTCTTTCTTTCTTTTGAGCCATACCTGCTTGTGCTAGCCAGACCAGAGCAGGGGAAACTGGAACTTTTGAATGGGAAGGAAGAAATTATTGTACAATTCTTTTCTTGCAGGCTCAGAAATATCCGTTTATTCTTTTAACCACACGGATGTGTCTATTTTTGGAGGAACAAGGAAACATATAAAATGCCTGGGTTGCATTTATACTGTAGTTGCAAACACCGAACAGTTAAGAAGATTTTGCCAAATTTTGCAAAGGAGCCAACAAACCACCTTGGGATCCTGGTAATGCAGTTGGGAAGACCCTTGCTCTCATTTGGCAATATTTTGGATATCCTTGGAAATGATACCAAAATATGCTTTAACTCGACTAAGAAGAGGTTAAACAACATTGATATTCATCCAAAGTGATTTTTTTTTAAAGCAGATGCTTGGCTTTCACGGAGAAAATGGGAGTTGTGGAAGATTCATTTGAACTACCAACCGAAAGCATCATAGACCACTGAAATAGTCTGCGTCCTACATCAGCACTTTCTTTTCATCGTTATTACGTAAAACCTCTGGAAGCACCTTGGGCGTTTTACATTTTCTTTTCTTTGCTGCAGAAACAATCTGCTCCCTGGAATTCTGACCTGTTGTCAACAGGACCCAGGCAGACCGTGCTGGGGACTCTAGGACGATCCCGCCTCCAATCCAGCCTGGTTAATTGTGAAAAGTGTACACATTTCTGGCTTATCTATGCTTTGTTATGGGTCTGACGTGAAACTACCTCCTCCCCACCCCACCCCCCAGCAGAGAACCAAAATCCAGTCGAATTGTTACAGTGTTTCGGAGCTGGAGCCTTGAACTGCTTCCTTGGTCAAATAACTTTGTTTCTGGTTGTAAAAGGCATTTCAGGAAAAAAAAAAAAAAAAAAAAAGGAAAATCGAGAGAAATTCAAAACGTAAGTCTGTACTGGGGTGGTTCACTGCGCGGGTTTAACTTTGGAGCTCCCAGCCGGTCTCCCTCTCCACTCCCATAAGGGAAATACCAGGCTATTCTGCACATTTTCGCTTAAGCTCCATTTTCCAAAGGAAAAGGGGGTGGGGTATGTCTATTTAGGCTTGATAATGTTTTTAAAATGCTTTTCTTTGAAATGATAATAGCTGCAGCGGTAAAATGCAAATAAAGAAAAAAAATAGGCAATATTCCTTTAAAGGCGAATATACAGGGATTTTTTTTTTTTTTTTTTTTTTTTTTTTTTTTTTTTTAAGCGTACACACACTGGTTCAGATGAAGTCTGTGAGTCAGGCTGTTTCTGAGCTCCGATAGTTTAATGGAAAGATTTATATACCGACTGTATTATTTACTTTGGGAGGGGAGGTGGCAGTATAAGGGTATGCTAATTAGTGGGAGATTTTGGGGGGAAGGGGTGGAATATCAATTTTTATTGCATCACCTGTCAGGAGTGTCCAATCAGCGCTGGCTTTAGGGGAATTAATTGATGAAGGTGTCTCCGGACGAGCTCACTTCACTCTGTCATTTTATTTGTAGCTAAAGCAGCGGCGGGAATAGCAGCTGCATTTCTTTTCTCTTTCTCCCTTCACATTCCATTATCATAGTGCTCCAATGGAGAAGGAAGGAATAGAGGGGCCCAGGTACTGATCTGCATCGGGGACTTAGACCAACACACTGGCAGATCAGAAACCGGATGGTTTTTTCCCTCTTTTTAAAAAAATACGAAAACCAAAAAAAAAAGCAAGAATCAAGTCAGTGTAATTTCATGTTTTGTTTTGTTTTTTTTTTTTTTTCCAATAATTTCGCCTAGAGTTTGGCACTCCCTTCGCCGGGAATAACAGTCTTTGTTATTTTATTAGCAGGATGCCTTGAGACACACGCAGCATCTGGTGGAGGATTAACATACATACATGTGTATGTATGCGTCACGTATATATTTACTGCAAATGGTGGGGATCATTTAGTGCCCGAGATGGGAGACCTGAAGTCAGGTTTTGAAGAGGTGGATGGCGTGAGGCTCGGCTACCTCATCATTAAAGGAAAGCAAATGTTTGCCCTCTCCCAAGTCTTTACGGATCTGCTGAAAAACATCCCGAGGACGACCGTGCACAAGCGCATGGATCATTTGAAAGTGAAAAAGCACCACTGCGATCTGGAGGAGTTGAGGAAACTCAAGGCAATCAACAGCATCGCCTTCCACGCCGCCAAATGCACGCTCATCTCTCGGGAAGACGTGGAAGCTCTCTACACCTCCTGCAAAACCGAGCGTGTCCTCAAGACCAAGCGCAGGAGGGTCGGCCGGGCCCTGGCCACAAAGGCGCCGCCGCCAGAGCGCGCCGCCGCCGCCGCCAGCCCCCGCCCGGGTTTTTGGAAGGACAAGCACCAACTTTGGCGGGGCCTGAGCGGAGCCGCGCGGCCCCTGCCAATCAGCGCGCAGTCCCCGCGCCCGGGCGCCGCCGCCGCGCGCCCCGCCGCCCATCTACCTCAGATTTTTAGCAAATACCCGGGCTCGCACTATCCGGAAATCGTGCGCTCGCCTTGCAAACCCCCTCTAAACTATGAAACTGCCCCGCTCCAGGGAAACTACGTTGCTTTCCACTCGGACCCTGCTTATTTTCGGAGCCTGCTGTGCAGCAAGCACCCGGCCGCCGCCGCCGCCGCCGCCGCCGCTGCTGCCGCCGCCGCCGCCGCCGCCGCTGCCGCCTACTACCAGGCGTCGGCGGCCGGGCCCCAGCCCAAGGCGGCGGCGGGCGCGGGAGGCCCGGTGAGCCTGACCTACCGGTGCAAGCGCAAGCGCGGGGGCGCCAAGGACTGCCTGCTCGCGCCCCACGCCGGTGCCCGCCGCCTGCTGCTGCTGCCCAGGTCCTACAAAGCCAAGGCGGCGGCCGCGGCGGCGGCGGCAGCGGCGGCGGCGGCGGCGGCCGCGGGGGCCACTTGCCTGGAGAGGTTTCATCTGGTTAACAGCTTCTGCACGCCTCCCCACCACCACCACCACCACCATCACCACCACCACCACCACCACCACCACCACCGGGCCCAGCAGCCGCCGCCGAATCACCACCCCCCACATCACCACCGGCCGCAGCCCCATCTCGGCAGCTTTCCCGAGAGTTGCAGCAGCGACTCGGAGTCCAGCTCCTACTCGGACCATGCAGCCAACGACTCAGATTTTGGCTCCAGTTTGTCCAGCTCCAGCAACTCGGTGTCCTCGGAGGAAGACGAGGAGGAGGGAGAAGAGGAGGAGGAGGAAGAGGAGGAGGAGGAGGAGGAGGGGGGCAGTGGGGCCTCGGATTCCAGCGAAGTCAGCTCGGAGGAGGAGGACTCGTCCACGGAGTCGGACTCCAGCTCCGGCTCCAGCCAAGTGTCAGTGCAGAGCATCCGTTTCAGACGCACCAGCTTCTGCAAGCCTCCCAGCGTGCAGGCGCAGGCCAACTTCTTGTACCATCTGGCCTCCGCAGCCGCTGCAACCAAACCCGCTGCTTTCGAGGATGCGGGCAGACTTCCCGACCTCAAGAGTAGTGTCAAAGCGGAGTCGCCGGAGGAATGGAATCTGCAGAGCTGGGCCCCCAAAGCGTCTCCGGTGTACTGCCCGGCCGGCCTGGGGAGTTGTTTCACAGAGATAAGGAACGATAGGGTATCTGAGATTACATTCCCACACTCTGAAATTTCCAGTACTGTAAAGAGAACTGACCTGACAATTAACTGCCTGGCGGAGGGGGCCTCTTCACCTAGCCCAAAGACAAACAATGCATTTCCACAACAAAGAATACTCCGAGAGGCAAGGAAATGCCTACCAGCAAGTCCTACGGCACACTGTGCAGATAACAACACAATAGCTGCTAGGTTCTTAAATAATGATTCTTCAGGAGCGGCCTCAAATTCAGAGAAAGATTCCAAAATCCCTCATTGTGCTGAATTTGCTACGGATTTGTCCCCTTCACACGCGGATTCTGCAGTGGATGCAGCAGCAGCAACTAAAGCTGAGACTCCCTGCACGAACACAGGAGACAAGACCTTGCTATTTCTGCACAATATTAAAATCAAAGTAGAAGACAGTAGTGCTAATGAAGAATATGAACCTGACCTTATTACAAATAAGCTTAAGTGCGAGTGCAATGATACAAAGGGTGAGTTTTACAGTGTGACTGAAAGTAAAGAGGAGGACGCCTTGTTAACCACAGCCAAGGAAGAAGGCTTTGCATGCCCTGAAAAAGAAACTCCTTCCTTAAATCCACTGGCTCAGAGTCAGGGCCTTTCATGCACTTTAGGTTCTCCAAAACCTGAGGATGGGGAATATAAATTTGGTGCCAGGGTGAGAAAAAATTACCGGACACTAGTACTGGGAAAGCGACCTGTACTTCAGACACCTCCAGTCAAACCAAATTTGAAATCAGCTAGAAGTCCTCGTCCTACAGGTAAAACTGAGACACATGAAGGAACACTGGATGATTTTACAGTTATAAACAGACGCAAAAAGGTAGCCAGCAATGTAGCATCAGCAGTGAAAAGGCCATTTAATTTCATGGCAAATTTTCCTTGTCCACCATCACTCATTATTGGGAAGGATGGGGATTTGTGGCCGGCGTATTCCTTAAACACCACTAAGGATTCCCAACCTCCTCACAAGGCCCATCCTATATGGAAATGGCAGCTGGGCGGTTCTGCAATACCTCTTCCACCTAGTCACAAATTCAGGAAATTTAATTCATAAAAGTGTTTTGGAAGATATTTTCTTGAACCCTATTACCTTCCTTTTGTTGTAAACTGCACAGGATGGTTTGTACAAGTCCATTAATGTGTTACACCCCTTTTGGAGCCCTGGTTTATCGCATTTTGAAGACAGAAATCGGATTACTTTTTTCCCATTGCGGGTTTTTTTGGGGGGGGGGGAGTAGGATGGGGGCGGGGTGGGAGAAGGGTTGGTTTACATTCCACAGACTACTTCAGGCTAAAGACTCAAGTAAAACTCAGTTATTAAGGTAGAGCTGGAACACTTTACTGTTTCAAAGCTAATAATGCACCCGGTACCTCAATTCAACTGCTACAAATAAATGTCAAAAGGTTGAATAATAAATATTACAATGAGCCATTAAGTTTATGCACTAGATTTCAGACCTGAAAGTGTAACTGTTAATTCAGTGAAAGTTTGTTAGGTTACATGGTTACATAGTGAGGTAGAAAGAAGTTTCTGTGATCCCAAAATGTTCTTTTCTGGAGCTCTTGTTTGTGGGATATCTTTTCCTTTTCCTTCCCTCATTCCTTCTCCAAGAGTAGTTGCACTTAATTTTCCTTCCTTCTTTCCTTCCTTCCGTCCATCCTTCCTTTCTTTCTTTTTTTTTTGAGTGGAAAGACTGGGGAGTCCTGCTTGAATGCTGGTAAAAGCTGCCTCGTATATACTGAGTAAAATAAATATGAGATTGCTTTTTTTTTTTTTTCCGGTAAAGGGTGTGATTTTACTTCTACAGCTACTCCTTGCAATTGGAAAAGCCCTTTTTGTGTTCTCACCCAAAGGTTTTAAATAAGGTGACTCTTACTCACTGTTGTCCTGCTTACCTTGTGGTCTGACTCCTCAAGTTTGACTCCTCAAACTTGCAAAACAAAGTAGTTCTCTTAATAGCAGGATATTTTATGGTCTGACTCTTCATAGTGACAAAGCAGTAAATACAACCAAGAAAAGTAAAATGGGTCAGAGTTGTAGGAGTATCCCAAATGAAAAATTACAGTTCTTTCAGGGCTCTTTGGTACCAGAACTCAGGCACTAGGATCTTACTACCTTTTACTTTTTCTGCATCTCTCTAAACTTCTGTTTTTAGACCATCCTGTGAATAAAGCAGGAGAGTTTCTACTGCAAGTGACAATCAGAGGTGACTATCTATATTTGCACTTAAAATCAAAGTAGTTCAACATGCAAATGGCTAGGGTCTAGCCCTTGGTAAGGGCCATGCTGGTGTACTATGTTGTGATGATGGAAGCAGTAAATCAAAATTATGGAAATTTGCACTGTTGAAAAGCATGCTTTAGCTTTATTTTCAATTAAAAACACTGTTTAAAATTCCTGGTTCCATACATTTCTACTTATTCCAGATTGAAGAACGGCTAACAGGAATGAATGGTTTTGTTGACATTTTCATTTGTAATGTTTTTGCCTGAAAGAAATGCATTTATTGGGTGTAGTGTTTTGTTGTAATACCATGTGATGAGGGCAGTCAGGTTCTGTGCAAAACACTGATTTCTTTCTAAATAACAACAAAACTTTACAAACTTGTTACAAATCAAGTGCAAAAGTTTCAGGTTTAAGAAAGTGAAGCAGAGATCAATTGCTATTTTAATGAAAGTTAAATCTAATAATATTTGGTCCACCTCCCTAAGTCTGTCCAATTAAATTGTATCTTAGATCTTTGCCACCGTAAACCTAAGAAGTTGCATCTATAGATCATAAATCATAAAACAAAACAAAACATCAATAAGATGTTTACTGTGTGAATTTAGTCACTATCTCTCAAGGAAATTCAGTCTTTTTTTTTTTTTTTCTTCTGCCCTTATCCTAATTCCTACTCCCTTTGAAATTTTTCTTTTGTCTATAAATGTTTCAGATAGATCTGGATGGTCTCAGCTCTAATTGCTGTATATGCTCTGTGGTTCTACTCTTACTGTAAAGGACAGAGGCTGAGAATACCTGCATCCAAATACATTTGGATGGAGTAAACAGAGGCTTTGAACTGCCTCCCTTCCTTTCCTTCTTGAATGTTGCCAGATGTAGGTTCACTGGATCCTTTTTTATTGGGATGATAGATATGGTCAAAGCAAAAATTGGGGGATGCTATCCTTGAATTCATGTTTGTGTATAATTCCAAAGACCAGTACAAGTTACAGTTAAAGCCCCCAGAAAGCTGAACAATTGGCTTCTCAGTCTGAGTTCTTTCCTCTTTGGAAGGCCATACAGAATTTGGGTGCAGTGATTTGTCCTGCAAAATCAATCTGTAAAAAGTGTGACATGCACACACTGGCAGTCTGTAATTTCTATTCTTTAATTACTGCTAAGTCAGGAGAGTTCAAAGTATGATGAGTACTACATTTAGGCTAGTACTTTTCTTGCTGGCTATGGAATCATTGTTCCTGTATTATAAACTGAGAATATATTTGAAGCCTACAGATCTTGGGTGTGGGAGGACTGCTAGATGGAATAAGCACAATTTAGAACAAATATACCCTGTGGAATTTCTGACATAAAATATCGGCTTCCAGCTTTGACACTTGGTCTCCAGCCCTCAGAGAATCAATAGTTTCAGTTTATAGGAGCTGGAGAATGAGCAGCATGGAGGCCGAGGCATTCCAGAGTGATACCATCAAAAGGAAAGAAATTAAATAGTCAACACAAATTTCACCCCACAGTACTACAACAAGCCAGCCAACCACAGCAAAACCTGAGTTGGGGCTTCTGTTAGGAGAGTATAGCAAATAGTATTCAGTAACTTACAAATACAAGGTATTCTTTCAATTTCTGGTAGTCCCTTAGCTGTTTTCCCATTCTGCTGAGGGAATTATTCTCAGTACAGTTTATTTCATTTTGGTTGTTTTATGGTTAATGACCACATCTAGATTTTCTAAGATGCTATAAATGTCCCATTTGTTCAAAAAGTTAAGCCTAATTGAGAGAAAAACAAAGTTACCTCCATTGATAGATTGCATTTTTACATTTAAATGTTTTCAGGTGATAGCATTTTTTTAAAAAGGCATTACATGGTTCCAGAGTCACTTAGTCCTCTGTCTAAAGCTCAACACTCACAAACAGAAGGAAAATACAGAAAAGGGCTCCTCCTCTGACTTTTTGGGGAAACAAGCTTATTTTTGGTCTCCTGTAACATAGTTTCCTGATAAGACTCTGAAATGAAGACTTAATTATTTTTTAAAAGAGATGTGTGTTCTCTGTCTTCCATAGTCAGGTTATCTGCCTTCTTAGAAAATGCAGCTTGCTCTTTTTCAACTATTTACTTTTTAAAGTGGGTGTTCTTTTCTACTGGCTTACTTGATTACAGTGCAGTAATCTCAATAATGGTTGTTTATTTTAAAATCAACAACAAGGAGCCACCACTAAACAGCAATAACACAAACTAGATGGGCTGGTGTGTGGATTTTTATCTTATCTGTGTCTGGGTGACTTTCAGTGGTCTAGAAATTTTTCAAAGTTCCGGTCACAAGAATTGGAAGTTTCTGCCTGATAGGAGAATGATAGTTTTGTTTGAATGCAGGAAAAGATATAGACTAATTCCTCAAAAGCATTTTTTTTCCTTTCAGAGAAAACAAAAACAAAAATCCTCCAGGGTAAAAAGCAAAAACAAAACCCTCACATTTAAAAAAATAAAGCATTAGTATCTACAAAAGATAGAAAATGTGGTGAGTTTTGCTTCACCTTGAAAATAACTTCCTGCTGATAAAGGATGTGAAAAGGGAGTTTCCTAGAGCCAAACTAGGGGGGACAAATTAAAGGCTCCCCATCAACTAACCTCAGGAAATTGACAAGGAGGAACAGGGCATCCACCTTAGGGAGTCCCCTGGTCACCCAGGTCTTCCCTAGGACTTTGCCCTGCCCTGGAAGAAAGAAGTATTTTTAATGCTAGCTTTGGTTTTGGTTTGCTCTCTAGGCCAAAGGGTATTTTTGCAAACTAGCCTGGGGGGTAGGGACGTAGGGAAGATCTAGGAGGTTGGGGGAGGGCTGCATTTTACCTGTTTGGCAGGCCCTCTTTTGCAAAAAAAAAAAAAAAAAAAAAAAAAAAGGAGGGGGCCCAGCTATCATTCTTTGCCCATGCCCTAGGCCCCCGCTCTTCTCTCGCTCCTTTTCAAACTGTGGCGGCCTCACAAGCTCCTACTTTAAAAGGCCTGAGATGTTTTGCATGAAGCCCTCACAATAGGGGTTGAGGGAATTGACAGTTTCAAAAACAAGGCGTTCAGTCCTTTCCAGCTGCCGGGCCCGCTCTCTCGCACCAACTCCTCGTTCCTCTCTGCTGGTGGCGTCCTCCGGAGCGAGCTACCTTCCCCCACCCCGCCAGCCTGCATTCCCGCCGGCCCCACCCCGCCCCCGGGCTGTGTTTGTAAACAGGGGTCAGTGTCCAGGGGCTGCGGGCGCGGGGCTTGGGACTGGCGGGCTGGTAGGGAAGGCAGGGGACGGCTGAGACGGCGAAGGGCCGGCCCCGGGGGGACTTAGGGGTTTCGGGGTCCCTTTCCCCCTCGTTTTCCACCTAGGTGCCAAACTCTGGCCCCCGTGCTGACCCAGGGCAGCTCTTAGCTCCCTGGCCTGGGCCACCAGCCCCAGAAAGATGTTTAAATGCCGCCATTTTGCATGGTGGCAAACAAATTTCTTTGTGACTTTTTTTCCCCGCCCAGATCTTGCTCTCCTCTGAATTTGTCACCTACTGGCTCCCCGGGGCGGAAGAGCCCGTACCCCGGTGCGCACGGCCCCCAGCTCCTCTCCACGCAGCCTCATGTCCCAGTGGCCTCAAGGCCAGGCCCACCGGGAGCAGGGGCGACGGGGCGCGCGGCCGGTCCTCAGGGACTGGACCGCCTCCGCTCACTTTGCGCTCCTTTTGTGTGTTCTGAAGTCACCTCCCACCCCGGCACACGCACACACTGCCTAGCCATTTCTCACCTTCTCGCCCAGGCCTCATCTCTCTGTCCCAGGCAAATGGGGCCCAGCTTTTTTTGCTTTGGGCGGAGGGCTGGCCAAGGTCTCCAAAACGCGTGTGTGGAACGCAAGTGGCAAAGAGATGAGGCTTCACACTGGGCCAGCCAGCATGGCTGTGAACGCCTTCTGGGAAGTGGCCCAAGACCTGCGGCCGGGGCTCTGGGGAGGGCTCGGGTGCGCAGGCGAGGGCCCTACAGAAATCCCAAAGAGGGGGAAAATGGGATGGGGGCAAAGCTTGCTTTCTTTGGCGCCGTGGTGCCTGTCCTTGGAACCTCAGTGCCCCTGAAAGTGGAATGATGACCTGGAAACGGGAAACGTGAGACAGTGACCTGGAAAACCACCCTTGGTTGGGGAGGTTGGAGTGCAGCAGTTGCAAACAAAGCTGCTCCTAGAGAAGAGGGGTAACGGAGGTGCACCGCAGATAGGTCACAGGAAAGTGCAACAAGCTTGTTTTCCCGGGTGTTTAAAATGCAGCCCCAGTTGTAAAGTGTGTGAAATTACGCACTGGTCTCTTAAAGAGTGCCTAATTTATAGTAAATAGCAAGGTCTTTGTAAATGGCTTTATTATGTTGTTGCTTGTTAATTGTTGAGAAAATCCCCATTGTTGAGTGTGAAAGGCTTTATGAGCTAACCTGGTCCTCGGCGCAATCAGAGGGCAGTAAATGGCCGCTCAGCCTCCGAGGCCCCGCGCGGAAGCGGACGCGGGCCGAGAGGGCCCGGGCGACCTCTGGAGACGGCGACTCGGCCTGGGAAGCAAGTGGCGAGGGTTTCCAGGCTTTAATTAATAAGAAGGCGTGTTTTGAACTCGCGGGCCCCCAAGAGCAGCTTGCTAAGGGGGACGAGGAGAATCGGGAGCGCCAGGGCGACCGAGGCGGCGAGGGTCGCGGGGAGGCGGAGCGGGGCCGGGCGCCCCTCTCCGGTCCCACCGCCTCGGCCACACGCCGGCCGGCCCGGGCGCCGGCTCCAGCCGCGCTGGGGTGGAACTGGAGCTTGGCCATTGTCTCCAGTTCTCCAGCCGCGTGGAGCGTGGGCTCAGGCCGGTTTGGCCAAGCCTGCCGAGCGCCCGAAGAAGCCAGGTCGGGGGACCGGAGGGGCTCCGGGCCGAGCAGCCCCCGAAGGGGAGCTCCAGACCCCCGCCTGCGCCTCCTCGTCTTTTGTTTAAAAGCTGTGTCTCTCCCTCCCTCTTTTTTCCCTTCTCTCTCACGCGCGATCTCTCTCTCTCCCTCTCTCTCTCTCACCTGAAATGGGCTCAGAAGACTGGAGAAATCGGAGGAAAGGCTTTTGGGTGTGTGTGTGTGTGTGTCTATGTCTGTGTGTGTCTGTGTGTGTGCGCGCGCGCGTGTGTGTGTGTGTGTGTGAGAGAGAGAGAGAGAGACAAGGAAAAGGATTTCTTCTTTAGTCTAGGATAAGACATTCTTATCTCCTTTTCCTATCTTTTCCAGTTCTCTTTCCAGTCAGTTGGGACCCAGGAAGGGTCTGGGCCAAACCAGGCAGGCGCTGGGTTCATTTGATTAACTTCGAGGCGAGGCCCCCGCCGGGCCCCGCGGGCCTGGAGAGGGCAGGCGGAGAGCGCCTCCCTGGGCTCGGCCCCGCGGCCTTCCCAGGACTTAAGACCCGGTGGATCGGGGGGAAAAGCAGCCGCAGCAGCCTCTCTGCAGCCTTTGAGCTCTGGCAGTGCAGCTAGAGGGAAGAGAATTTCTTCGTGAGGCTCCGTTTCGGGGTTGGGGTGGGGTGGGGTGGGGGAAGCCTGGGTTAGGTGGACTGTACGAAAGGGTTTGGACATTAGCAAATGCAAATCACAAGGAAATGTTAATTCCAGTCAGAAAAACCTGTATCTTCCCTATCTTCCTGGCCTTCTAAGATGGCCCTCCGCTTGCGCACACTCGCTTCCTCACCAAATTAGCTATTACGTGAAATCCCCCTGGGTTTAAAGCACTTGTTTCGCGGATTCGCGTACAACCCATATTAACTATGCACTTTCTGCTATTCCTCTTGTGACTGTCCCTGCCTCTTCCTTCTTTGAGGCGCGTGTATGATGCATTTTATTTTAGCCCAATCGATGCGTGCAAATACTGGGATAACACTACCCACACTTCTGCGATGAAGGCTGTTTTCAAAATTGAGTTTAGGGATCAGTACCAAGTAGAAAAGCTCCAAATTGCACGAATTCACCGAATTCAAGCCTTGGGCTCCCAAGCCCCTTTCCTGGCTGATTGACGCCCTCATGGGCAGTCACTGTGGTTCCACTGTTCCTGCTTCTCAAAACAGGATGTTTTCATCATGTGTATTTGGCTTTCCCTAAAGATCACTCCAGTTTGTTTGGAAAAACACGACCCCAAAACGTGTGGAGTTAAACCCCAGTCAATGGCTTCCATGCGGGGCTCCTCTCGTACTTGCACTGCTGACTGCCATTCCTCCCCCTCCTCCCTTTCTAGGACCTAGCAGCAGCACCTAAAATTGCCATAGTGGGTGCTCGGAAAAACTTTGCCCAGTTGCGTGAATGTTTTGCTGGTGGGGAGCAGCCCTCTCCTGGACCACTACTTGACTCCCACCACTTCTTCGCCCAGAGCCGGGCTTTTTGGCCCAGCAAGCTCTCTATTCTTCCGCGGCTGCCGCCATGGCTGTGGGACCGACTGGTGTCTAACTGGGGGAAGGACAGTAGTTGTCCCCTTGCAAGGGACGGTAAGGCCAGAGAGGTGGAGGGAGAGAGATTTCAAAAAAGAATTAGGAGAGGCTACTGCCAGCAGGTGTGTGTGTGTGTGTGTGTGTGTGTGTGTGTGTTCAGGTAGTCTGAAAAGAACATCTACAGGAGAAACAGGGCAAGTACTTAGGATGCTAGGGTATCCCTATGCCTTAGCTCCTGCTGTTGGGATCGTCCTTTACTTGAGAGACTAGAGCAAGACAGAAGGAGGTGGAGAGAGAGTGGCAGGCAGCCTAGAGGCTCTCCAGTAAGATCCAGTTATTCATCTAATCAGTGCCATCAATACGTCTGTGGTTGACCCTTTTGGATGGAAGAGGCTTAGCAGTCAATAGACTTAGACCCTAAAATATTGCCAGTCTAGCAGACAGCAACTGCTCACAGGTCTGCAAGGCCCCTCCCTGGCCAGGATGCTCAGAAGGAAGTGGAGAGAAACAGAAGGGAAACTGTCTGAGTCCCTGCCTGCCCTCTTCCCCAAGCTATCAAAACAAACAGACAGACAGACAAACTCAGGTCTCCTGGAGACTGGGCTACTGGACAAGCACATGTTGGGCACCAAAATTGGAATATAATTTCCATTGTTATTGCTTGCCCTCTTTCAAATCAGTTTAAGTCAGCTCCAGGAACAACACAATACTTGTGATAAGTGATGAGCAATAGAGAGGAAAAACAGTATAGAAGAGAGACTGCACTAAGGTTAGGCAACAGCCTTCCTTCTTTCCTGTGAAAGTTAGAAACGACACAAACCTGTAAGAGATCTTAAAGCCACCCCTTGGTCAGTAGGTTAGGCTTTCTGTCCCTGAAATGACTGGAAAGGACCTAGATTCTTGGATCTCTCAGGAATAAAGGCACATTTTACATTCATTTTCCCCCATGTCTCTCTCACCCTCTCTCTTTTTCCCTTCCGTTCAAATGAATACCCTGATTGTCCGTGGGGGCAAATGTGGAAGACTAGTTTTCTGTCTCTACATTGGACCCAAATAGGCAGACCAGTGGATGGTTGAGCTTTCAAATGCCTGGATATTACATCCATTCAAAGTAAAACCTCCCTGATAGAGTAGAAATGGCCATGACCAGGTTTATTTACCTTTTCCCTTTATCTTCTCTTTTCCCACCTTCTCAGCTTTTCCTTTTCTTCCCTGCCTCCTACCTAACCATTGCACCCAATAGTTAGCACTACTTTCTCCAGAGGTGGAAGGAGGGTAAGATCTGGCCTTAAACCAGTGCTGATAGAGGAAGCATGGGAGCCTGAAGTGACCCTGAGCCTC